TAGGAATAGTAATAGCAGCAGTGGTAGTGTCTGTGGTAGTAGTATTAGTGGTCATAATATTAGTAGCGGTGGTGGTATTACATGTAGTGGTGCCTGTATTAGTACCAGTGGTGGTGGTAGTGGTAGTAGTTGTAGTGGCAGTAATGGTAGTAGTAGTAGTAGTGTTGGCAATAATAGTAGTGGTGGTCGCACTAGTAGTGGTTTTGGCGGTGGCAGTAGTATCAGTGTATTTAGTAGTAGTGGTAATGGTGGTATTAGTAGTATTAGCGGTGGTGGTATTGATGGTGGTAGCAGCAGTAATATTTGTGTTGGTAGCAGTAGTAGTGGTGGTGGTAATGGTAATAATAGTGGTGTTAGCAATATTAGTTGTTGTGGTAGCAGAAGTAGTGGTGTCGGTAATAGTGGTATTAGTGGCAGTGGTAGCAGTAGAACTAGTGATGGTATTAGTAGTAGTAGTAGCGGCAGCGGTATTAGTTGAAATGCTGATGGTAGTAATATTATTTTTCGTGGTATTGGTAGTATTTTGAGAAGTATTAGTAGTATTTGTGGTGGTAGTAGTAATAGTTTTGGGGGTGGTAGTAGAAGTATTAATGGTGGTACTAGTAGCAGTAATATGGAGGCTGTATCGGTAGCGGTGGTGGCGGTAGAAGTAATATTGATTGTAGTGATAGCAGTTGTGGTGGTAATGGTTATATTATTGGCAGTAGTAGTAGTGGTGGTAGTGGAGGTAGTAATATTATTGGTGGTATCGGTAGTAGCGTTGGTAGTACTATTAGTGGTGGTGGTAGTAGTGGTAGTGCATGTAGCAGTAGTAGCAGTAATATTATTGGCAGTAGTAGTAGTGGTTGCGATACTAGTAATAGCAGTGGTAGTGGTAGTAGTAGTAGTAGTATCGTTGTTAGTAGCAGTAGTAGTACAAGCGGTTGTGGCAGTATCATTAGTGGTGATGGTAGCGTTACACGTGATAGTAATAGTAGCGATGGCAGCAGTAGTAGTAATAGTTTCAGTGGCAGTAATATTATTGGTGATATTAATAGCAGTGGTGGTATTAGTGGGTCTAGTAGTAGCAGTAGTTGTTGTGCTAGTAGTAGTAGTATTGGCGGTAGCATTAGTAGTTTTTTGGTAGTGGCATTTGTAATAATGGTGGTGATAGTAGCGGTCGAGTTGGTAGTAGTAGTATTGGTGGTAATAGTATAAGAACTGGTGGTAGAATTAGTATCAGCTTTAGAAGTAGTGTTAATAGTATGAGCGATATTGCTGTTGTTGTTGTTGTTGTTAGTAGTAGTAGTAGTAGTGGCGCTGATAATAGTAGTGGCGGTAGTATTAGTAGCGGTAGTAGTAGTAGTAGTAGTAGTGGTAGTAGTAGTAGTAGTAGTAGTAGTAGTGGTAGTAGTAGTAGTAGTAATGGTGAAGGTGGTATTTATAGCAGTGGTGGTGGCAGTAGTAGTAGAGTGTTCTTATTAGCAGTAGTTGTGGTGGTAGTAGTAGTAGTAATGGTGGTGGTATCACTAACATTATTAGTGGTATTGGTGGTGTTGGTAGTAGCAGTAGTTTTGGTGGTAATATTAGTAGTGGTGGTGGTAGTATCATTAGTAGTGTTGGCAGTTACAGCAGTAGTGGCAGTAATATTGGTGGTAGTAGTGTTAGTAGCGCCGTTAGTAATCGTATTATTAGTGGTAGTAGTACCAGTATTTGTGGTAGCAAACGTGGCGGTAGTATCACTACTGGTGTTGGTGGCAATAATAGTGTTGGTTGTGGTAGTAATAGTAGTGGTAATGTTGGCAGCAGTAGTGGTGGTGGCACTAGCAATGGTGGTGGTCGTAGAAATAGTAGTGGTGTTAGCCGCAGCAGGCGTGGTGGTGGTGTTAATAGTAGTAGTAATAGCAGTAGTGGTAGTGGTAGTAGTAGTAGTATTAGTGTTGTTAGTTGTAGTGGTATTAGTATTATTAGTGGTGGTAGTAGTAATATTAGTTGTGTTGGTGGAAGTAGTATTGTTGGTTTTAACAGTGCACGCGGTAAAGTCGAATCTGTACGCTTCTTTCTCGCCTGGTTCTTGATTATATCAATTTGCAGATTTCCTGTTGTATCTGACTACTTACTATATTTTTGTGGTAATATTTCAGTGTATCCCATATATTTGGCTTACAGCTCCGCTATTCTCCCCACATGCTGTGTTACTAACGTTTCGGCATACAACGTATAGCCGTTCGCTGTTTTTCTATTTTAACAATAAGCTTCGATTTTAACGTCTTTTTAAATGGGAAGGTATGGGGCTAAACGTTTTTAAATCGACTGCTCCAGTGAGAAAAAGCAAAGACTTGGTCATTCCAGTGCTCTTCTGTGTGACAGAACCATTGTTACTCCGTGTAACTCAGATCTCGATGATCTGGTATGCCCCACACCTTTTGTCAAAACTGAGGACATCATATCAGTCATGAGTAGCAGTATTAATGACCACAGGAAAGAAATCGATAACATTAAGACCATGATGGAAGAGACCTGGAGGATAGTTGAGGATTTCTATCCTCTGCATATCTTCCAGGGAAGCATGAGAAGTTAGTTGAAGACCATGTAGTGAAAGCAGAAGACTTGATAGACCGCTTGGCGACGGAGGCAATGAAGAGACTATCGTCATCTCAACAGGCCATCGTTTATAACATACCTGATACCCTACCCCTGGATGTAGTTAAGACAAAGGTATTAAACTCATGTGGCGTGACAGGAATACACTGTGACTGTAAGCGCCTCCTCAAAAAGTCAACGCAGTCTAGCTGCCCCATGATCTTCAAGTTCACTACCTCATTTGACGCCAAAAGATTTACGAAACTACAAGACCACATAAGGTTACATAGCAGCTTTAAAAATGTTGCTATTGAACAAGACAAAACCATGTGCCAACGCAGAAAACGAAAAAGAAGTAGTCTGGCCAGTTCATCACCTTTAAACAAGGAGGCTGCTGTGTGCACAGACAGACCATCAGAAGGTGCTGACATGGTCAATAATTCTGTTGAACGTACCTTTTCCTCGGTACATCGGTCTCGATCAAATCTAGCTACAAGTGAACCTGATCCTTCAGCTGCTTGTAGATAAAAAAACACTGGTACCCCTAAGGTCACCATGAACAGAAAACTCAGAAATTCAGGTGGAACCTCACCATCTAAAGCTAAAACGTTTCTGAAGAAGGACCATTTCAGGCGCATGGTTTCTAATGGAGAAGAATACTTCATACCTAAGACACTAGCAACACACGAACCCAAAAGGCGAGTTTTCCGTCAAACTCCTTTCAGAAATGACTGCCACGAAACTGGAAGTTGCATCACACGAGACACTCCTTCGAACCATATCCCTTTAATCACAGTGGTCATAACGTGATGCCATGTAGCGTACCGAGCACTCAAATGTCCTACATACTACAAACACCTAACCACTGTTCAGCTGTGCATCTTAGTAATCCTATTCAATACTTTGGGAACAGATGTACACCCCCTGCAAGAAACTTCCCCACTTATGAACCCTACCAAGATTTTTCTCGGATCCCGCACAATATGTACTACCCACGGTGTTTAGGCTCGTTCGACCCCCTGATAACATAGGGCTGGAACCAATTTCCTCGACTTACACCGGTCATAAACCATACCTTATGCCAACAGTAAAGAAGAGGTGCACGTTAACAACCTATAAGTGCCGTGAGAAACTAAGTAATCATATACCTGTGGGACAGAGACTCACCGGGCACACACCACCGTTGAGTCCTGTCACGTCCGAGACATAGGTAGTGCATCGTCTAGCGAACTGAATACCAGAAATTCTTCTGCTTACCGAGGCTTAAGAGACATAGTAAGCTACTTTGCAAGCCATAGTAGCCCTTTCACGCTTCTACTTATTAATGCCCGCTCGTTACTTAAGAAAATATTCGATCTTAGAACAATAGTTTTGCTAGCCAAACCCACTGCATTATTAGTTACTGAATCATGGTGTACTGACTCAATCCTAGACGTGGACATGTGCATAGGTGGTTATACTCTGTATCGCACTAATCGCGATCACAAGCGTGGTGGAGGCTGTTTGATCCATGTGTGTAGCCTTGCTACCCCAAATAAGATTGAAGATAATATCCTCAATGATCCGCCGGACTCACTTTGGATCGTTATAAACGGTACCAACTACAAAGTCAATAACTGTACCACTATCAGAGCCACGGCATGAAATAACATCAAGAGGGATTTGCTTGGTATCTGAGGTTGGATCCATGGACATGTCACCTTCCCCGTCCGGAAATGGCTCAAGGAACACCTTGTGCTTGCCAGGTACAGCAGTGGCGGGTTGCTGAGTACTGTAGCGGCCAGAATCCAATAATCTTGGCCTGAACGCGGGAAATAACTAGGTGGTGCCAACTGACATGAATCTGACTAGTTCCTGCATTCTACCGTATAGCTTCCTAACTTCCGCGAGTGACGCACAGTCAAAGGTTGGATCAAAATATCAAAACACGGTTTGTAGTAATCCAGTGGTAGATTCGTAACAAACTCTGTGGTACTATCAAAGCAACAATAAATTATGTCAAAATTACAAAAATACCTCAACAGTGCCGTTGGGTAACTATACAGCCCAAAACGTTCTCGGGTACAAATACGTACTACACGGTAAAAACTGGTTAAACAAATACAACTGTTAAGTACCTGTCGGTCAACAGGAATATTCCCGACAAAACTCTGCCTACAGGAATCAAATCAACAAAGAAACGTTCCCAGTAGACAGTCAAAAGACAAACAGTCAAATTACTGCACAACCGTAAGTTGAACCAAAACAAAATGTCGGGTCCAGTAGAACATCACCTTGTCAACAGTCCAGCGTCATATAATAGGAAAGTGAAACATTCATAATAAGGCTCAAACACACAAAGGCAAATACCGAGTGCAAAGTCAAATAAGACAGTTAAACAAGCAAATAACATTACACCGGCTAGGGTCAAAGGTACACCATCCATAACGAGGGTAAAAATGTTAAAGTAAATGTCAATACGATCAAATAGGGGTGATCGGGAGGGATTTTCAGGGCAATTTTCCGTTATAGTGATGGTAGCATTTGTAGCGGCGGTAGCAGTGGCCTAGGTAATAGTAGTAGTATTAGTTTTTATAATACCACTAGCAGAAATACTAGGAGTGTTGTCAGTAATAGTGGTATTGGTGGTATTAGTAGTGGTGATAGTAGTGTTAGTGCTGGTGGCATTAGCATTGGTGGCGGTAGTAGTGACAATGTCAGTGGTGGTGGTGGTAGTAGTAGTAGTGACAAAAGTGGTAGTAGTGGCGGTAGTAGTAGTGGTAATTTTGGGAATATAAGTACTAGTATTGGTGATGGTAGTGGCAGTAGTAGCCGTGGCGGTAGTAGTTGTAGTGGCCGTAGTATTGGTGGCAGTGGTGGTAGTAGTGGTAATTGTATTGTTAGTAGTATTAGTGGCTATATTGTTAGAGGTAGTTGTGCTAGTACTAGTGGTAATAGTGGTGGTGGTTATTGTCGCAGTAGCAGTAGTGGTTGTGGTAGTAATGAAAGTGGTGGCAGTGGTAGTAATGGTTGTAATAATAGGGGTAGTGGTGGTTGTATCAGTAGCAGTGGTTGTATTATTTATGGTAGTGGTGGTAGTATCAGTGCCGTTGGCGACATTAGTAGTAGCGGTGGTGGCGTTGGCGGTAGTATTGGTCTTAGTAGTAGTGGTTCAAGTATTATCACTGTCAGTAGTAGTATTGCTATTATTAGCAATGGTGGTGGTAGCAATATCAGTAGCGTTGTAAGTAGTATTAGTAGTGGTGGTAGTAGAACTGCTAGCGGCGGTATTAGTAAGAAAAGTGACAGTAGTGTTAGTAGTGGCGGTAGGTGTAATGGTACTGGTGGTATTAGAAGTAGTAATGTTGGTAGTGGTATCGGTGGTGGAGGTAGTGGCAGTAGTTGTGGTGGTGTTAGTATTATTATTATTATTAGCAGTAGTAGTAGTAGTGGCAATAGTGGTAGTATTAGTAGTGGTATTATTAGTAGTGGCGGTGGTGGTATTGGTAGTATTAGTGGTGGTAGTAGCAGTAGCATTCTTGGTAGTAGTAGTAGTAGTAGTAGTAGCGGCAGTATTAGCAGTAGTGTACGTAATAGCATTTGTAATAGAGGTGGTAGTAATAGTGGTAGTGGTAGTAGTAGTATTAGTAGTAACGGTGAGAGGTGTGGTAGCGGCGGTAGCATTAGTAGTGGTAGTGGTAGTACTAGTAACAGTGGTGGTATTAGTGGTGTTAATAGTAGTAGTGGTGGTAGTAGAAGTAGTAGTGGTACTATTAGTGGCAGTGGTGTTGATATGGTGGCAGCAGTAGTAGTCAAGGTGGTGGTAGTAGTAGTAGTGCTGGTGGTAGCAGCATTCTTGGTGCCAGTAGTATTATTGCAGATAGCTTTAGTAGTAGTGGTGGTGGTAGCAGTAGTGATGGTGGCAGTATTATTAGTGATGTTGGTGGAGGCAGCAATACTGGTGATAGTGGTAGTAGTAGTGGTGGCGTCAGAAGTAGTAGTCGTGGTAGTAGAAGTAGTAGTGGTGGTATAAGTGGTGTTACTAGTATTAGCAATGGCGGTATTAGTACCAGTGTTTGTAATAGAAGTAGTGTTGGTAGTATTAGTTTTGGTGTTGGTGGTAGTAGTATTATTAGTGGCAGTAGTAGTGGAGGTAGTAGTAGAATTAGTGGCGGCATTAATAGTAGTAGTGTTGGAAGTAGAGGCAGTGGTAGTAGTGGTAGCAGCATTACTGCTTGTAGTAGAAGTAGTGGTGGTAGCACTAAAAGTGGTGGCGTTAGTAGTATTAGTAGTTGCCGTAGTAGTATTAGTGGTGGTGGTAGTAGTAGTTGTGCTGGTAGCAGCAGTAGTGGTGGTGGTAGAATTAGTAGTAGTGATCTGAATATCAGTATTAATAATGGTAATAGGAGTAGTGGTGGCGGAAATAGTAGTATTAGTGGTGATATTTGTAGTAATAGTGGATGGAGTAGTAGTAGCAGTGGTAGTTGTAGTAGTAGTAGTAGTATTGATGGTGGTAGTATTGGTGGTGGCAGTTGTATTACTAATAGCGGTGGTGGTATACTAGTGGTGGCGCTGTTAGTATTGGTGGTGGTGGTAGTAGTAGTGGTGGCATTAGTTGTGTTTCTAGTGGTAGTAGTAGTAGTAGTAATAGTGGTGTTATCAGTGGCAGTATTGGTGATAATAGTGGCAGTAGTGTTGGTATTGGCGTTAATGGCAGTTAGAGTAGTAGTACCGGTGGCAGTAATAATATTGGTGTTAGTAGTATTGGTGGTGGCGGTAGCAGTAGACTTGCAATTAAGGGTGTTAGTAGTAGTGTTTGTGGTAGTAGAAGTAGACGCGGTGGTAATTGTAGTACTAATAGTGGTAGTGTTAAGATTGTCGGTAAAAATAATAATATTCGTGGTGGTAGTAGTAGTAGTAGTAACAGCGGGGCTAGTAGTGGTGGCAGTGTGAGTGGCAGTCGTAGCGTAGTTATTAGTGGTAGTATTAATAGTAGTGGTTGTGGTGATAGTAGTAGTTGTAGTGGTAGTAATAGAAGTGGTGTTGGTGGCAGTAGTAGTACTGTTGATAGTAATATTAGTGGTGGTGGGGCTACTAGTGGATTTTGCGATGGTAGAAGTAGTAGTTGTGGTAGTAATAATAGTTTTACTGGCGGCAGTTGCATTAGCAGCGTTAGTGGTAGCATCAGATTTGGTATTGTTAGCATTGGTGGTGGTAGTAGTAGTAGTGGTATTGGTGGCAGTAGCAGTAATAGTGGTGGTATTAGCAGTAGCATTGTTGGTAGTAGTAGTAGTAGTATTTGCGGTAGTATTAGTGGTTGTATTGGTGATATAAGCAGTGGCAATAGTGTTGGTGGTGGTAACCATAGTGGAAGTGGTAGTAGTTGGGGTGGTAGTGGTAGCAGTATTTTTGGTATTATTAGTAGTAATAGTGGTGGTAGTAGTAGTGGAAGTAGGGGTATTAGTAGTGGTGGTGATAGTATTAGTAATGGTTGTAGTTGTAGTGGTATTTTCCGTGGTAGTTTTAGTAACGCTGATTGTAGTAGTGGTACTGGTAGTAGTGGTGGTGGTAGTAGTAGTAGTAGTAGTAGTAGTAGTAGCAGTAGCAGTAGTAGTAGTGTTGATAGCAGTAGCGTCATTCGCGGTGGTAGTAGTAGTAGTAGTAGCAGTAGGGTTGGTAGTAGTAGTGGTCGTGGTAGCAGTATTGGTAGTCCTGGTAGCAGTGGTAGTAGTGGTAGTAGTAGTAGTAGTAGTAGTAGTAGTAGCTGTGGTAAGGGTAATAGTCGTAGTAGTATTAGAAATGGTAGTAGTAGTGGTCGCACGAATAATATTACTGGCGGTGGTATTAGCAGTAGTGGGGATAGCAGCAGTATTAGTGGCATTAGCGTTAGCAATATTGGCAGTGATGGTAGCAGTAGTACTAGTAGTGTTAGTAGTGGTGGTGGCAGTAGTAATAGTGGTAGTGGTGGCATAGTAGTAGTAGTATTGGCAGTACTAGTGGTGGTAGTAGCATTAGGAGTAGTGGTGTTTGTAGTAGTAGTGGTAGTATTAGTAATACTGTTGGTAGTAGTGTTAGTGGTAGTGGTGGTAGTAGTAGTATTGGTGGCGGTAGAAATTGTAGTGTAGGTAGTATAGTGGTAGTGGCGGATTTAGTAGTAGTGCCGTTGGTAGTACTCGTAGCTGCAGCGGTACTATTAGCGGTAGTGGTGGTGTTAGGAGTGTTGGTGGTTGTACTAGCTTCAGTGGTAGTGGTGAGAGAAGTAGCGGTTGTCGTGTGAGAAGTAGCAGTAGTATTGATGGTGGTGGTTGTAGTTGTATTATTGGTGGTATCAGAAGTAGTAGTGTTGGTAGAAATAGTAGAATTGGTGGTGGTATCAATGGAACTGGTGATAGTAATAGTAGTAATGGTGGTTGTAGTAGTAGGTTCGGTGGTATTAGTAGTAATGGTGATGGTAGTAGTCGTAGTATTGACGGTAGTAGTAATAGTAGTGTTGGTATCAGTAGTAGTATTGGTGACAGTAGTGGTGGTGTTAGTGGGAGGGGGAGTATTATTGGTGGCAGTAGTAGCAGTCTTGGTGGTAGTAGTTTTAATATTATCATTTTTATTAGTAGTAGTAATGGTAGTAGTAGTTGTAGTGGTGTAAGTATTAGTGGTATTGGTGGCGGTAGCAATAGTAGTAATAGTTGTATCAGTAGTAGTAAGAGTACTGCTGGTAATTGTAGTAGTGGTGGCGGTAGTGGTAGTACTGGTGGTATTAGTAATGGTAGTAGTATGCGTGCTAGTAGTAGTGGTGGTAGTAGCACTAGTAACAATGGTTGCATTAATAATCGTGATGATGGTAGTAGTAGTGGTGGCAGTGTTAGTAATGGTGGTGACTTAGAAATAGTAGTGGTGTTAGTGCCGGTGGTAGTATTACTTGTTGCATTATTATTAGTGTTAGTGGTGTTGGTAGAAGTAGTAGTAGGGTTGGTAAAAGCGGTAGTAGTGGTGGTAGTGGCAGTAGTAGTGGTAATAATAGTATCACTAGTGGTCGTAGTAGTAGTAGCACTGGTGGTAGTAGTAGTGGTAGTGTTGGTAGAAGTAGTATCATTGGTGGTGGCAGCAGTAGTATTGTAGTTAGTAGTAGTAGTAGCGACAAAGTATTAGTGTTTAAAGTAGTAGCAGCAGTAGTGGCAGAATTAATTTTGGTAGCGTTATTAGTCGTATTGGCGTTAGTATTACAATCAGTGTTGGTAGTGTTATTAGTATTGATGGTATTATTGTTGGTAGTCTTAGTGATAGTAATAGTATTAGTGGCGGTAGTAATAGTTATAATGGTGGTAGTAGTAGAAGTGGTGGCTGTGGTAATAATAATAGCAGCGGCGTTGGTGGTAGAAATAGTAGTGGTGGTTGTAATAAGAGGGGTTTTCGTAATGGAAGTATTAGTGGGGACAGTAGCGGTAGTAGCATTAGTTGTAGTAGTATTATTGTTGGTGGTGGGAGTAGTAGTGGTGTAGGTAGTAGTAGCGGTGGTAGTAGTGGAAGCGGCAATGCCGGTAGTAGTAGTAATAGCATTAGTATTATTAGTAGTAATAGCAGAAGTAGCGGTGGTGTTTGTGCTATTAGTAATAGAAGTGGTGGTAGTGCTAGTAGTAGTGTTGTTAGCATTAGTGGTGTTTGTAGTAATAGTAGTTGTAGCGTTGCTAGTAGTATCGGTAGTGGTGGTACTAGTGTTAAAGGTGACTGTAGTTGAAGTGGTGATAGTAGTAGTATTCGTAGCGGTAGCAGCAGTACTAATATTGGTGATATTAGTAATGGTGGTGGTAAAATTATGGGTAGTAGCAGTAGTAGTGGTGCTAGTAGTAGTAGTGGCGGTAGTAGTAGTAACAGCGGTGTCAATAGTAGTAGTAGTAGTGGTGTTAGTAGTGACAGTAGTAGTAGTAGTAGTAGTAGTAGTAGTAGTAGTAGTAGTGATATTAGTACTAATAGCACTGGTGGTAGTAGCACTGGTAGTAGTGGTAGTGGTTCTAGTATTAGTGGTGTTATTATTAGAAGCAGCGGCGGTAGTTGTAGTGTTAGTAGTGGCTGTATTACTAGTATTTGTGTTGGTATCAATAGTAGTGGTGCTGGTATCAGTAGTATTAGTGGTAGTAGCATCATTATTATTGGTGGTATAAGTGGCAAAAATGGTTGTGGTACGGATGGTACTAGCGGTAGTAGTGTGGGTGTTAGTAGTAGTATTAGTGGTGATAATGATAGTAGTGCTGGAGGTAATAGTAGTATTAGTAGTGGTAGTAGTAGTAGTGTTGGTGGTATTGGTAGAAGTATTATCGGTACTACTATTATTGGCAGTGGTGGTAGTTGTAGAAGGATTGTTGGTAGTAATAGTGGTTGTAGTGGTGATAGTAGCAGTAATAATGTTTGAAGTAGCGGTAGTGGCGTTGGTAGTGGCAGTAGTAATGTTGGTAGTAGTAGTAGTGGTTGTGGTGCTTCTGGTGGTGGTGTTAGCGGTAGAAGTGCCGATATTAATAACACTACTGCTGGGTGTATAAATGGCATTGGTGGTATTGCTAGTAGTATTCATGGTAGCAGCAGTGTTGGCAGTAATGGCAGTGGTGGTGGTGGTAGTATTGGTAGTACTGGTGGTAGTGTTAGTAGTAGTGGTGTTAGTGGCGGAGTATTGGTATTATTGGTGGTTTTAGTAGTACTGGTGGCAGTAGTAGTAGTAGCCGTAATACCGGTAGTCTTACTGGTAGTAGTCGTTTTATTAGTAGTAGTAGTAGTAGTAGTGGTAATGGCAGTAGTAGTAATTGTAGAATTAAAAACAGCGGTGGTAGTAGTAGTGGTGGTGGTATTAGTACTAGTGGTGGCAGTAGTATTACTAGTGTAGGTAGTAGTAGTAGTGCCGGTAATAGTAGTATTGGTCGTACTAGTGGTGGTAGTTTTAATAGTAGTAGCAGTAGTAGAAACAGGAGTATTAAAAATAGCGGTGGAAGTAGTAGTAGTATCGGTCTTAGTATTAGAAGCAATGGTGCTATTAGTAGTACATTCGTTGGTAGTAGCAGTAGTGGTGGCAGTAATAATATATATATGTATATATATATATATATATATATATATATATTTCATACAACAAAGGTTACATGAATACAAACCAGTTTACGGGTTTGATCATTTTGGTAATGAGAAATGACTATAATGTACAATGTTAAGCTATACATTAGATACTGTTATTTATGATATATAATAGGTGTGTTGAAGCAGTCTCAGTCCGAATTTGAGGATTATCTGGTTATCGTTTGAATCATCCAATATTCTTGAAGGTGAGGTCGCATCACAGATATGACTTTGAGGCGTGCGCGTTCGTCATAGGGTTTTGATGGTAATATTCGGCTGCCTGTAGACAGACATAGGCCACACGTGGTTTTTCGATCAGCCGATGTCTTAAAATTAAGGATCCCCTAAAGACTTGTCAAAACGAATAGTTTTTAATTTTTTCTTTGCACTTAGCCTATTTTCTTTGATGGAGATGCCTTGCTGTGGTTAAAAAGTGGCTTAAACTGCTTGTTGTCCGGACGTAATGAATGTAATTTTTGGTTTTACTTAAACGTTACGTATTTAAGCAGGGAATGTTGGGTATTTTTAATTAAGCAGGTACTTCGTTTAGGTAACAGTATTTTTCCAATATTTAATTGCTGATAAGCACTGCGAAGTCATCTTTCAAAGCACTTCAACTTCACTTTGTAATTTTTTTTTCCTTTTTGACTCCCAGGTGTTTTCTGTTCCGGCAGTAATGTAAGTATTAATTTTGCCGCATTTGGTGTTATCCTTCTTGAGGTAAATACGTTAATGTGTTGGAAGTTTTTTGCTGACCTCAACATTTCGATGGCAAGTGAAATTGCCTCCATGACGCCGATAGTTTTTTGAAGAACTTTCAGTGGTTGTAAATGTAACTTAACAAAGTGACTGCGAATAATACTTGAGAAGTAGTAGAGACAATCGCCTACTCTAGTAAAAATAATTAGTCTAGGAAACTGTATATGGTGTGACGATTTATTTCATGAGTTTGTGGCTGAAAACACTAACATTCAGATATTGCCTGTGAAGATGGCATGTTTTCGCACAACTCTTCACCCGAAATAAGTTGATATTGCTTTCATGAATCTTTTTTTAAATAATTGAATAGGTTGTCGCGGGTTTTGATACAACGCAAGGATATGAAGCCGTATTTCGAGGATCAGTATGCATAGCAATAGACGTTTGGACCTGACTTTAGCCCTATATTTGTTTATGTGCATATACATATATTTTTCCTCGTGTGTATTTTTAAAGAATGTCGCTTTTATGACAAGAAATCTCTGGAAAACCTGCTAGTGCTTCTTTAATTGCTATCAATCTGCATAGGGAAATACTATGGTGCGTAGGGACAGGTGCCGCACAAGCGAGACAAATGCTGATGTCTTCTGTGTGGTAGGAATTTTTCACGGGATGACGACCTCTGAAGGGAAATAGTTACATAGCCAAGAAACCACATCTGTGTGATGGTTAGCCACACCACTTGACTGATTAGACTTCCGTTGACGTGCCTGGGAAGCATAGTGCACTGATTGTGAGTTGAACGGCTACACCCATTGGTCATGATACAGTAACACAAATCTTCCTATTTCAAACGCCATCACTATAACCCACCCCACTTTCCGCTTCAATAAACAACAAAGAAGGAACACGTGTAAAGTTTATTTAAGGAGTGGAACAATATATACATAGGTAGTTAGTATGTATTCAGCAGTCTGCGAGGTTACTGAAGATTAATCATGTACGTGGCGCTCCTCATGAGCTCTTGTGTACGTATCTAGCAGCAGTCTGCATGCTCTTTCCGGGTTTGACTGGGCCAGTAACCGCATTTCATACATCACTGCATAAGTAAGCATTCGCAGTTTTCCAATGTCCACAGTAAGCCGGTTACATTCAATAGGCATGTGGTTATAGCTTCGTGACCATCTTGTAGAGTGACGAAAAACATCTGCAAAGAAGTTAATTAGCGTCTCAGAAGACTTACCAAAGTCAGGAGACAGAAACCTGCGCACATGAATCAGGCGACGACAGGGCATAAGCATCACAGTGCTGGTGTAGCAGGAGCATTTGCAGTCATACTTGTCAGCCGTGTAGTACTTCTGCCCTTCGTGATAGACTAAGTACGCCTCTGTAGACTCAACTACCTGCACATCTCTATGCGCCAGGATACTTTTGTACACATAATATACTGCGTAGTTCGCCAGAGAACGCGGCATGTCAGAGGTTATGTAGTCCGTCTGTAATTACAAAGATAAGAACAAAGGACTTACATCAAAATCCATGTAGTAGTGCAAACTGCGATTTCCCTCATTAGCCTTCCTGCGATATAGTTGCATGGAACATTTCCAAATCTCGCGAATGCTTAAGTCCAGAGGAAAACACTTGCGTGAATGTTCCTTCAAGTGCATATGGCAGCACTCAACTCTGCTGTTCGTTTTGTTACCTAGGGTAATAACATCCTGCATGAGGCAGGAAGCCCGCATACACCGACTGGCCCACAGATTTGCTTCCATGTAGGCAAATGCTGCCGGATGTTCTGTTCTCATAGCTAGGTTTAATTCATTAAATCTAAGGAATTATTATGTATCAGTGACAAAACCTGGCAGGGTCACAAGTGTATACCATTTCCCGGAACATAAGTTTACATTCCTGATTACGAAACTGCAACGTTCTCACTTTTTCGTACATAAATTACCTTATTATTAAACGGGCGTATAACATGAAAGGCACATAAGACAATGGAATAGTACGGGAACTGACTGCGAATAGCTCCCTGCTCCGCTGCACTATTTTCGATAACAAACGTCACGGTTAGTGACATTTCAACCATGAGGGTCTTAAAAGACCCCAACGCTTTCTCCACGTCCATCAGGCGTTCTCGGTGAGTTAAACTATACATCACAGGGAAGCTGCGGTAGAGGCCATCCGTGATAATCAATTGATGAAGCGGGTGACTTAAAAACTCATTTAATAATTTCACTTAAATACCCTTCCTTACAGGTGTTATATGTAGAATCCATACCGACAACTTCCGGAAACTTCTTGTATTTGTTTATCATTTCCCTAGTTGCAAAACTAAACATCTTGACTCTTCTGCCTCCGTCAAGTGAGTAGCACACCAAACCCGTCCCTCGGATTTCTAAAACCAATGAATCTGTGTCACAAACTAAACACATAAAGTGAACATAGCACATTACTAGGGTACACCAGTTCCCGGAAATTTCTATAGTCACCGCCGGTCACCAGCTTACGGAACTCGACGTCAGCCATATCAATAATTTGACTTGGTGGTGCATTACGTTCTATAAGTGGTAGGATCATCATTCGCTTGTCACCACTAAGTCTTCGAACACGTGGTTCCACAGACATCATCAGTTCTGATGATAAGTCGTGGTTGTGTACAGTGTTAACAGGTTCTACAACTTCATAACGCCCAAAATTCAGTTTAATTCGGAAGGTGAATGGGCAACCCAAGAACTTAGATCTGTAATGTATATGCTATGGCCTCTATTACAGCACTCACTGTGGTTTTCGCCGCCTATTGCCTTCCGTCTTTCTCCACCGACCAACACGGCAACGAGAAACAGCATACCGGTACCTATATGCTGGGTCTACATGATTGTTCTCGTCCCTATTTAGGCGACAATCACGAATCCTATATGGACCGTTAGTTTCCCTCGGCATTCAGTGATGACTCCATTAATTAAACAACTTACATTTTCAAGTCGTATGATGCATGCTTCACACTCTGGCCATGTTTCTAAGTTTCTGTTCATCACAAGTTGTCTGAATTCAGCCACCAAATTTACTGGTCCAACATTCGATCTGAAGGACATTTTAATGTTGCTTTACAAATGCCGGTTGTTACAAAAACGCTTCTGTTCGGCGCAGGAACGAAGCCTCGACGTTTCTAAAATTAAAAAAATACCGCTTTTTCTTTATAAGGGCTACATCGTACTAACCGATCAGAAAACGACAATTAACGCTTTATCTCACTAGTGCAAGATAGGAAATTACGTCCGTCGACTGGCACTCGCAATATTTCTTACTGACAAATGTGATTTGTAGGATTCCATTTGAATGCAGGACTGGTTAGGTAAACCTAAAAGTGAATAACAAAAGCTAGCAGCAGGCGAAATTCGAAACAGGAGCGCAAAATACGCTGGAGTGGATCAACCATGATACATCTGGTGAGTTCTTTGAACTGACCGTAAAACTTACTTCAAGAAGTATCCAGAACCTACTGCTTAGAGGTGAGCTAAGGTGGGAAAAGGTGAAGGTGCGCACGAGGGTAATGAAACTTAGTCTGAAGCCAGAGATATCACTACGAAATAGAGAGATTAGAGGACTTTGGACCGGGTATCTACCTGTTACATACCCATGCACGAGCGTTTCATGAAGTTGTAGCGTCACACACCACAAAACCGATAGCCTGGGGTCTGACGACTTTCAACATTGATGCTGACCTTGATAGTTTAACTAGACTCGCTAAGCTGAAGGCATCCGGTCAAGCATCCTCGCCATTTGGCACGCTGACGTGTTATGTTGCATTGCTCGCATTCGACTCTAGCCAGTTAGTCGGAACGCATCGGTATTTTGGCACAACCATCCAAATATACTATTCCATCCGACTACGCTGCCGTGTTCTTCCTTGGTCCCGTATTCGTGGGTATATAACAAGTCCGAATAATTGGTGATTGGTCTTTGTGTCTGTCAAGTTCGCAACAGGACAAATCGTAAAAAGTTATAAACATTTAAGTGAAATTCATGCTTTTTTCTTAGACGGAGACCACCCTTTATCTGGTCACTCAGGGGTGGGTAGCAGTAGTGCTAAAAGTATTAGTATTAATGGTTGCGGTAGTAGCAGCAGTGGTGGCAGCAGTAGTAGTGGTGGCAGAAGTAGAAGTAGCGGTAGTAGTGGCGGTAGTAGTAGTAGTAGTAGTAGTAGTAGTAGTAGTAGTAGTAGTAGTAGTAGTAATAGTAGTAGTAGTAGTAGTGGTAGTAGAAGCAGTAGTATTAGTAGTAACAATGGAGGTAGTAATAATCCTAGTGGCCGTAGTAGTAGTGGTGGTGGTAGCAGTAGCAGTACTGTTGATAGTAGTAGCAGTAGTGGTGGTAGTAGTAGTAGCAGTGGCGGTGGTAGTAGTACTATTGGTAAAAGTATTAATGGTTTTAACGGTGGTAGTGGTAGCATTATTGGTGGTAGTAGTGGCGGCGTTAGGAGTATTAGTGGTGGTGGTGCGAATGGTAGTGGTGGTGGCGGCAGTAGGAATAGTAATAGCAGCAGTGGTAGTGTCTGTGGTAGTAGTATTAGTGGTCATAATATTAGTAGCGGTGGTGGTATTACATGTAGTGGTGCCTGTATTAGTACCAGTGGTGGTGGTAGTGGTAGTAGTTGTAGTGGCAGTAATGGTAGTAGTAGTAGTAGTGTTGGCAATAATAGTAGTGGTGGTCGCACTAGTAGTGGTTTTGGCGGTGGCAGTAGTATCAGTGTATTTAGTAGTAGTGGTAATGGTGGTATTAGTAGTATTAGCGGTGGTGGTATTGATGGTGGTAGCAGCAGTAATATTTGTGTTGGTAGCAGTAGTAGTGGTGGTGGTAATGGTAATAATAGTGGTGTTAGCAATATTAGTTGTTGTGGTAGCAGAAGTAGTGGTGTCGGTAATAGTGGTATTAGTGGCAGTGGTAGCAGTAGAACTAGTGATGGTATTAGTAGTAGTAGTAGCGGCAGCGGTATTAGTTGAAATGCTGATGGTAGTAATATTATTTTTCGTGGTATTGGTAGTATTTTGAGAAGTATTAGTAGTATTTGTGGTGGTAGTAGTAATAGTTTTTGGGGGTGGTAGTAGAAGTATTAATGGTGGTACTAGTAGCAGTAATATGGAGGCTGTATCGGTAGCGGTGGTGGCGGTAGAAGTAATATTGATTGTAGTGATAGCAGTTGTGGTGGTAATGGTTATATTATTGGCAGTAGTAGTAGTGGTGGTAGTGGAGGTAGTAATATTATTGGTGGTATCGGTAGTAGCGTTGGTAGTACTATTAGTGGTGGTGGTAGTAGTGGTAGTGCATGTAGCAGTAGTAGCAGTAATATTATTGGCAGTAGTAGTAGTGGTTGCGATACTAGTAATAGCAGTGGTAGTGGTAGTAGTAGTAGTAGTATCGTTGTTAGTAGCAGTAGTAGTACAAGCGGTTGTGGCAGTATCATTAGTGGTGATGGTAGCGTTACACGTGATAGTAATAGTAGCGATGGCAGCAGTAGTAGTAATAGTTTCAGTGGCAGTAATATTATTGGTGATATTAATAGCAGTGGTGGTATTAGTGGGTCTAGTAGTAGCAGTAGTTGTTGTGCTAGTAGTAGTAGTATTGGCGGTAGCATTAGTAGTTTTTTGGTAGTGGCATTTGTAATAATGGTGGTGATAGTAGCGGTCGAGTTGGTAGTAGTAGTATTGGTGGTAATAGTATAAGAACTGGTGGTAGAATTAGTATCAGCTTTAGAAGTAGTGTTAATAGTATGAGCGATATTGCTGTTGTTGTTGTTGTTGTTAGTAGTAGTAGTAGTAGTGGCGCTGATAATAGTAGTGGCGGTAGTATTAGTAGCGGTAGTAGTAGTAGTAGTAGTAGTGGTAGTAGTAGTAGTAGTAGTAGTAGTAGTGTTAGTAGTAGTAGTAGTAATGGTGAAGGTGGTATTTATAGCAGTGGTGGTGGCAGTAGTAGTAGAGTGTTCTTATTAGCAGTAGTTGTGGTGGTAGTAGTAGTAGTAATGTTGGTGGTATCACTAACATTATTAGTGGTATTGGTGGTGTTGGTAGTAGCAGTAGTTTTGGTGGTAATATTAGTAGTGGTGGTGGTAGTATCATTAGTAGTGTTGGCAGTTACAGCAGTAGTGGCAGTAATATTGGTGGTAGTAGTGTTAGTAGCGCCGTTAGTAATCGTATTATTAGTGGTAGTAGTACCAGTATTTGTGGTAGCAAACGTGGCGGTAGTATCACTACTGGTGTTGGTGGCAATAATAGTGTTGGTTGTGGTAGTAATAGTAGTGGTAATGTTGGCAGCAGTAGTGGTGGTGGCACTAGCAATGGTGGTGGTCGTAGAAATAGTAGTGGTGTTAGCCGCAGCAGGCGTGGTGGTGGTGTTAATAGTAGTAGTAATAGCAGTAGTGGTAGTGGTAGTAGTAGTAGTATTAGTGTTGTTAGTTGTAGTGGTATTAGTATTATTAGTGGTGGTAGTAGTAATATTAGTTGTGTTGGTGGAAGTAGTATTGTTGGTTTTAACAGTGCACGCGGTAAAGTCGAATCTGTACGCTTCTTTCTCGCCTGGTTCTTGATTATATCAATTTGCAGATTTCCTGTTGTATCTGACTACTTACTATATTTTTGTGGTAATATTTCAGTGTATCCCATATATTTGGCTTACAGCTCCGCTATTCTCCCCACATGCTGTGTTACTAACGTTTCGGCATACAACGTATAGCCGTTCGCTGTTTTTCTATTTTAACAATAAGCTTCGATTTTAACGTCTTTTTAAATGGGAAGGTATGGGGCTAAACGTTTTTAAATCGACTGCTCCAGTGAGAAAAAGCAAAGACTTGGTCATTCCAGTGCTCTTCTGTGTGACAGAACCATTGTTACTCCGTGTAACTCAGATCTCGATGATCTGGTATGCCCCACACCTTTTGTCAAAACTGAGGACATCATATCAGTCATGAGTAGCAGTATTAATGACCACAGGAAAGAAATCGATAACATTAAGACCATGATGGAAGAGACCTGGAGGATAGTTGAGGATTTCTATCCTCTGCATATCTTCCAGGGAAGCATGAGAAGTTAGTTGAAGACCATGTAGTGAAAGCAGAAGACTTGATAGACCGCTTGGCGACGGAGGCAATGAAGAGACTATCGTCATCTCAACAGGCCATCGTTTATAACATACTTGATACCCTACCCCTGGATGTAGTTAAGACAAAGGTATTAAACTCATGTGGCGTGACAGGAATACACTGTGACTGTAAGCGCCTCCTCAAAAAGTCAACGCAGTCTAGCTGCCCCATGATCTTCAAGTTCACTACCTCATTTGACGCCAAAAGATTTACGAAACTACAAGACCACATAAGGTTACATAGCAGCTTTAAAAATGTTGCTATTGAACAAGACAAAACCATGTGCCAACGCAGAAAACGAAAAAGAAGTAGTCTGGCCAGTTCATCACCTTTAAACAAGGAGGCTGCTGTGTGCACAGACAGACCATCAGAAGGTGCTGACATGGTCAATAATTCTGTTGAACGTACCTTTTCCTCGGTACATCGGTCTCGATCAAATCTAGCTACAAGTGAACCTGATCCTTCAGCTGCTTGTAGATAAAAAAACACTGGTACCCCTAAGGTCACCATGAACAGAAAACTCAGAAATTCAGGTGGAACCTCACCATCTAAAGCTAAAACGTTTCTGAAGAAGGACCATTTCAGGCGCATGGTTTCTAATGGAGAAGAATACTTCATACCTAAGACACTAGCAACACACGAACCCAAAAGGCGAGTTTTCCGTCAAACTCCTTTCAGAAATGACTGCCACGAAAACTGGAAGTTGCATCACACGAGACACTCCTTCGAACCATATCCCTTTAATCACAGTGGTCATAACGTGATGCCATGTAGCGTACCGAGCACTCAAATGTCCTACATACTACAAACACCTAACCACTGTTCAGCTGTGCATCTTAGTAATCCTATTCAATACTTTGGGAACAGATGTACACCCCCTGCAAGAAACTTCCCCACTTATGAACCCTACCAAGATTTTTCTCGGATCCCGCACAATATGTACTACCCACGGTGTTTAGGCTCGTTCGACCCCCTGATAACATAGGGCTGGAACCAATTTCCTCGACTTACACCGGTCATAAACCATACCTTATGCCAACAGTAAAGAAGAGGTGCACGTTAACAACCTATAAGTGCCGTGAGAAACTAAGTAATCATATACCTGTGGGACAGAGACTCACCGGGCACACACCACCGTTGAGTCCTGTCACGTCCGAGACATAGGTAGTGCATCGTCTAGCGAACTGAATACCAGAAATTCTTCTGCTTACCGAGGCTTAAGAGACATAGTAAGTTACTTTGCAAGCCATAGTAGCCCTTTCACGCTTCTACTTATTAATGCCCGCTCGTTACTTAAGAAAATATCCGATCTTAGAACAATAGTTTTGCTAGCCAAACCCACTGCATTATTAGTTACTGAATCATGGTGTACTGACTCAATCCTAGACGTGGACCTGTGTATAGATGGTTATACTCTGTATCGCACTAATCGTGACCACAAGCGTGGTGGAGGCTGTTTGATCCATGTGTGTAGCCTTGCTACCCCAAATAAGATTGAAGATGATATCTTCAATGATCTGCCGGACTCACTTTGGATCGTTATAAACGGTACCAACTACAAAATCCTCATAGGCTGTGTGTATAGAGCACCATGTTCAACAAAAAAAATGATGAACTGATGGCTAGATCATTTGCCCACGCTGGATCCCTCACTGTTGACTTCAAACTGATTGCAGGCGACTTTAACTTACCTGAAGTTAACTGGGAGGTCGGTCGCGGCCCACAACGATTTGATGAAATGCTTGCTGTCACAGATATCTATGGCTGGAAGCAATATGTCCAGCAACCCGCGCGTGGAGATAGTATACTGGACCTAGTCTTTTGCTGTGACATCATCCCTGTCACTACCCACGTTAGTAGCGAATTTTCTAACAGTGACCATAGGTATTCTGTTGCTTACCAATTCTTCCTCCCAATGAGAGAAACAAGCAATCTTCAAATTATACTCGGCATAGAAGCTATAAGAATATAGAGTGTGAAGTACTCATCGAGCTACTCAGGTGCTCTCCATGGGATGACTACTTTACCACAGCCTCATTAACACACACACACACTTTTCTACAGAAATATAGAGCTGTGTCTAGATACTGTTGCTCCTGTGAAAACAGTTAGGGTTTATAAGGAGCCAGACCCATATATTCCTAAAATATTCCGCAATAAACTTAGGAAATTATCATCACATTACCACTCGTCGAAAGACTTCATGTCACTGCACTTAATTCATGAGACTTACGAATCTATCAAGACACTACGTGCGAAACAAGCAGTAAACGAAGAGATCGTCGCTCTCAAAAGTGGCTCTAGAATACACAAGTTGACATCCCTTCTGAGTAAACGTCTGAAGCCATCAACGGATGTAGCCTATCTACTACATAATGGGGTGGTACACAACGATCCCCTCAAGATTAGTGAACTGTTTAGCGAATCATTCGCTAATTTCAACCCTAATGCCCTCAACCCCACTAGCTTTACTCCAATTACCGCTAGTTCATGTACTAGAGTGGAGTTCACTGTCAAAAGTATCACCGAGGCTATCAAAAGCCTGAAACTATCGACAGGTACGGGGATAGATGGCCTAAACTCAATAGTCATCAGAAACAGTGGTGATGATATGCCGCTGTTCTTGCTTAAGATATTCACACTATCAATGGAAAGTGGGGAGTATCCTAGCGAGTGGAAAACTAGCTTTATAATTCCTCGCTACAAGTCCGGTGACAAAGCGAATGTTGGGAACTACAGACCTATCAACATAACGCCAGTCGTCTCCCGAATCATGGAAAAAGTGATTAAGAGCGGCATGTCTGACTACCTACTTAGCGAAAACCTCATCACAAAGTCTCAGCACGGTTTCATTAAAAACAGGTCTTGCGTTACTTGCCATTTCGACTTCTTCAACCTTATCACTAGTAGCCGCGAGGCACGTAAAATCGTCATTGTTCTATACTTTGATATATCAAAGGCATTTGACAAGGTGCCACACAGTATTCTCTTTGACAAGCTACAATCGATTGGCATCCATGACCCTTTACTTCATTGGCTAAAATCATTTCTTAGTGATCGGAGCCAAATCGTCAAAGTAAATTCTATGCAGTCTACACCTAGGCTCATAACTAGTGGAGTAATACAGGGTAGTGTCCTTGGACCTTTGTTGTTCATAACTTATATTAATAGTGTGTGCAAGTGCTTCACTGTAGGGGAAACATTCCTATACGCTGATGACCTTAAGGTTGTATACTCATGTTACACCCATGAACTAGGTAATACGCTATCTACTGCTCGACAAGAATTAGGTGAAGTTGCTAAATGGTGTGACGAGTCCCATCTCCAGTTCAACATTGATAAATGTGGTTGGCTTAGCATAGGCAACGATAACCTAGATGTGTCTCTCGAAGTATGTGGGCAAAAGCTACCTAGACGTTCTTCAGTGCTAGATCTTGGTCTTAGATATTCCAGTGACTTAACATTCTCTGAGCAGACGGCTTGTATCACATCTAAGTCACGTAGACTCCTTGGATGCATCGTCCGTAACTTTTATAGCACTGAATCAAGGGTCCTACTCTACAAAGTGAGCATCCGCCCAATTTTAGAGTACTGCCCGTTTATCTTAAGTGGCCTTCGTATAAGCGACAAAGGAAAAATTGAAGGAGTACAACGCCACTTTACACTAAGAACACTAGGAGCTGACTGCAGCCTAGACTACATCTCGAGATGCAACATGCTAGGACTGGAACCTCTCTGGAAGAGGCGACTTAGAATGAATCTTATATTTTACTATAAATTACTTCGTAAGCAAGTGCACTCATGTGGCCCGGAAATTAAAATAGTTGTAACATCTACTCACTATTTACGTAATCACAACCTATTAGCTGAAAATGAGTGTTGTAAGACCAAATTGCGAAGAAACTTCTTCATCAATAAGTTCTCTCACATCTGGAATAGACTTCCTGAGGAAATACGTACCGCAGGCACATTATCTACCTTTCGTTCTGCACTTAATAAGCTCCTAACAGATGATCAGTCTATCACTCGCCTAGGCACTATCTATACGTTCTGGGCTAATGAAAGCATACTAGGACCTCTAAACGTATAGAGTAAAGCTATCATAAATCTCAAGTACTTTTTACCTCAATGGACTCATAAAGGGTGTTTGATTACTAGTCCATCTGGTCGGATTGTGCAGTACAAATACATAACCAGTGTTCCCTTTAAGTTTACCAACAAAAACTGCCTATCTAATAACTCGTGTGAACTTCATATAAGGAAAAAAAGGAAGATTCATTCTCATATGAATAAATTAAAGTTTACATATAGCTCGAATGACTTTAAAAAGACAAGAACTTCTCTCCTCCCAGTTTGTTTTACGTGGTATTCCATTGTCCAGTTTCTCCTTGCGCTTTCTTTTCTCTTTCTTTTCAGTATCAGCCTGACGAGAAAGTCCTAAGCATTAGTTTGATCAAAACGTATCAACTTACTGGAAATCCTACTTCGCACCTAATACTGGAAACTGATGTTAGAGGTATCCAACTGGCTCGCCCTGATTTTCCTGTTTCTTGAACAGCTTAACAACCAACTCACCTCCCTACCAGTACCCTAAATGCTACCACATACGAAACCCCAAGCACAATAACTGGTCTCAGATTTCTGGTCCGTCACAAATGCAGCGGAAATCTGGATAAACAATCAAACTCGACAGATCACTTTACCTAACGGCAACACATCCATAATAATGCTATGTAACAGATTTCTCTAGTACTTTGTCTTGTATCAATCCATCTAATAGAAGTCAATTAACAGCCAATGTATCTCCTTGACAATGTTGCATACTTTAATGTGAAGTCTATGAAGTTTTACACATGTGTAATATTCACCACTGTTGAACGACGATGCTTCCACTCTTTAATTACTTGCACCACAACAAATGTTTTCAGTACTACCAATCTGAATTGCTGGAAAAGGTAACACTTGAAGAGTGAGAAACGCCTGAACTTAGACATTCACCTGGATTAAATGATTGTATGGATACTTACTTATTCCTGAAATCATTGAAGTAAGTTACTGTTGGTCAATAAATCTACGAACATAAGAATTGCTGTTAAAATAGACGTTTATCTGACAAAACACTTGGTCTTGTAGATGGGTCAATCATGTCGACTACTCACAACGCAAACACCAGACGTTGCGCCGTTTGATGTGAAGAAAGAATTGTGAGCAGAAATGACCTAAACTCAGGACGATGTGTATGTACTGTAAAGTGATATTTTCCTGTTACTTTCAAAACATTTAGACACTTGGTATCATGATAAAGTTTAGTGTCCTCCCTCTGTGTCATTAGATACTGCTGAAGCTTTTTATGTTTCTTTGCAATTATTAATTTGATGAGGCCTGTAAACTGGGTTCTCTCATGTTAACTTCATAACTTGAGAATGAAGATGTTCACACTTATTTATTTAGTAATATTGCTGGTAGTAGCAGTAGTATTGG